TTTTAAAAAATATTTCAAATCAGTCCACCCAAGTTTCAAAAATCACGTTTAGACCCCACATTTTATTTTGAAAATTTCAAACTGGTCCCTACCGTGTCTTGACTGTGTCGGAGCTGTGTCTTGACCGTGTCGGAGTCGTGCCTTGATCTTGTCCCAGCTGTTGACCATGTCTAGGGCGTGTCGGAGCTGTGTCACCGTATCCGACACTCCTACACTCCAGCAGTTTGGAGTGTCCGTGCAACATAGGTAATGTCCACTAAGGAGCTGTGAAAGGATGCCCCCCTCACGTGAGCCAAACGCAAGGGCCAGCTCAAGCTGGATCACCAACCCTCGGGCCACTCTCATGCATTTACACGCTTTCATCTCCAGGGAATTGGCTTGCCCACCCCAACCTATTGGTGGAATTAAACTCCAATTCCACCAAGGAGGAGACTATTTTTTGCGTTTAGGATGTAGAAGTTCATACTTAAAGGGAAAAGGAGGAAAGTACTAGTACCCTTATCTTTATTTAGGGGAAAGTGTTCTCCAACTAGAGTGCCATAATAAATCCCTTATAATACGTCAAGATGTAAATTAGAACTTTTATACTTTTGGGATAGGTCATATGGACATGACCTTTTGCATCCAAGTTCGGATAGCCTGTAGTTTAGAGTAATTTAGACTTTCTATAAAATAAAATAAATAAATAAAAAATGAAAATAAGAAAATCTTTCAATTAAAAAATTATACTAGTTTAAAAATGATTTTTAATACAAGGGACATAGAATTTTTTCACCTGGCAAAACCATGACATATTGAGCTGGGTTACAACCTGTGCTTTATATTCCCTTTACTTGCTATTCAAGCTATAGCATGTTTGTTTAATGAAGTAAATATAAGATCCGAGGATCTGCATCCAAATGATTTTATGTGGGATAAACATACATGGTGTGGCCAAAAAATTGTTTCCTTCTCTAAATGCTTGGACAAGATTGTTCAGATACTTGAGGCAGCTGTTTTGTTGTCTCCATTTGTGTCCAGTGTGAAGGCAAACTCAGAAACTAAGGCCAAGTGGTCGCTGCCCACTTTCTGTGTACAAGCATGATAGATAGAAATAGAATATTAGATTTGAAGATAACATTATACGCTTATCCACAATCATAATAATTCACCCTTGTTCCAGGTCTTGTTGCAAACTAGACCAGAATCCAAAGTTTTCCTACCTTGCAAGGGAGGCTACCAATCCTCTGGAGAATGTCAACTGGAACGGTATCTATAACTCCAGTGGGCACAAGGCCATCAGAGTACCTGTATGAAACAGAAGCATTTCATTCGTTTCGTTGTCATCATAACCAACTCCTCCTCCAACATTAGAATTATTGTTACAAGAGACGCAATTTACCATAAGTAGTCAACAGTTCCAAGAAATTTTGAGTGGTAGGAAGTCGCTAAAGGTTCGCCATTGGATCCTCGTGTTCTAGTCGAACCCTGAAAGTATGATATGTTATACTTAGAATAACACCCCAAACCAACTTGATGCATACAATAGGAACATAATGTAACAGCATATTAAAAGCTGGAGTATTGAACAACCAAGTGGTAAAGGTGTAAAATTTTGTACCCGCACTGTGGCATAGGAACTGTTAAGCTTCAGGGGATGCACGACTAAATTGCTCTCAGCATCTCCAGTTGCAACTCTAACCTCTTCATCTGTCCAGCAATGCTTCAACAATCTGAAAATGAAAACATTCAAGCAACATAAGACATATAACTCAGTCATCTTATTCAAAGAAAAGGGCCTGACTCTGCCTGACAAATTTCTCATTGATGCTTGTTATGCACGTCGTCGGTTTAGGAACTAAATGAAAACAAAATAGAAAATATGTTTCTGCGTTATAAGATATGAGAAATACCCGTCTATCAGTGTAAGTGGACTGCTAATTTCTTGTTTGACTCCTAAAACTTGAGCAGGATGACAGTCTCTCTGCCCAGATAACTCTCTTCTGTCATATGACATGATATTCAGCTGTAAAAAGAATCATACGGATGTCAAAAAACATCATGGATGTATGTAATATATCTATTCTGATTATTTGCATCACCAATATATATTAATTAAGTGGATAACATCATAAAAGCAAGCAATTCACCTCAGATGTTGACAAGAACTTGTATATTGCACTCTGTCAATAAGCAGGAAACTAGTTTAGCTTTAGCTTTGTTACTGTAAAAAGCAGAGCAAACAATGATGAAGTAAGTTATCAAACCTGCGGAGTGCAATTGAAATCACCACAAAGGACAATGGGGGCATTGCCCCATTTCTCTGAGAGGATTTGTGCCCTTGATATGAGAAAACGTATCTGAAGAAACAAAATGATTCAATTACAAACCAGATTATCATAATGCCCCAAAACGTTAAAAATCTGTATTTTTTCCTGATGTCTTTGTTCAGGTGGCCAAACTTCTATTTAGTACTAACACTAGTCATTAAGCATAAGGGAAATGACATCAATGAAAAGAAGTTACCTGGCCCAATTTTACCTCCCCTCGGCTTGGGTTATAAAGCACGTGTATGTTACCAATCACGAACCTTCTTGATTCGGCTTTCTGCATCTGCCTGTATGGAATGAAATTAGAAGTGGAAACGATGGATACGATCTTGTTGAACAGAAGATTACATCAAAACAGGGTTGATTAACTCAATCTGAAGTGAAGTAATCTCAGAAGTGTGACAGGTATAGAACAAGTTATTAGCAGATGCTTGCAAGTTGTACCTCAAAAACCGAGAGTTGAGCAACATTGTCACGAAGTCCATAACCCTTGAATTCAATGCTGTGTTCCTCTAACAACTGAAAACTGACATAATGAAGTGGAAAAGCTATTCAATTTGTCATGGCATCACAAACACTATAAACCAATTGATAAAATGAAAAATAAAGCACAACCAACCATCTTACTTATCAGCCTTCCAGAAAATAGCGCAACCATCAACGGTATCTCCCGTGCGTCTCTGCCATTGCAAACAACATATTCAGAAAACATTTCTTGGTTCATAGACAAGATTTGTACATAATATGGAAAATCTAACCTTATACGACCCAAGATATCCCATTTTCGCTAGAATTTCCGATAGTTCAAAATACTTGTCTACTTCCTAGTAAGACCACATAAAATAAAAAAATAAAAAATTAATTAACAGGGCAATAAAAACAAACAAATTAATCAAGCTTATTACTTTACTTACTTGCAAACAGATTATATCAGGGTTCCATTGGACAAGTTCATCGCATATGACCCTCTTGCGATGGTCCCATTTGAGATAACGGGAAGGCACATTGCGGTACATATCTCTATGCGCGAAAGCATTTCTATCCCCCAAAATGTTATACGAAGCAACTGTAAATCTATCTGCAGCAATAACAAATATATATATATATATGCTATGATTAAATAAATACAAAGGCGATGCATGCATAATTAGTTAATTAGAAGAAGGATGATATGGACCTTGAGAAGACAGTGGTTGTTGATTATCGGTTTGGATCCAATGGCGTACAACATCCGGAGCATGACTTGACTGTCGCCGCTCGAGGGGCTTGTACAATGGACGAGCAGTGTTGGAACATGTAGACGATGAGTCTTTGGAAGCGTCGGTGCAGCAAAAGATGGTGGGCTTGCTGCAGAGGAAGAAGGAGGATGGGCCGGTGGCGCTTCTCGTCGGTGCGGCAGTTGTTACGGATACGTGGCGTCCGCAGAGCCAAGAGGAAGCGTCGCACCGCATCGTTCGTTGAACTAGAAGATGAGGTGAGGTGTGTGCGTGCGAGCGAGAGCCTTTGGGATGTCTTCAGAGAGGGATTGGAATTTGACTTGTTGACTTGTTGACTTGTTTGCTTACGTAACTTACGATATGAGTTTATTGATGGATTTACTGTTACTGTTTCATTCTGAGTCTTTCAGATATTCTCGGGGCCACAAGGGAGAGAGAGTGTGTGAGGGTGCATCGCGGCCAAATGCCATCCATCGAGCGGTGAGTTTCTTGTCTTTGGCTGCATTCATCTTTCATTGTCGCATTCTTTTATTTATTCTATATTAACTTCGTAACTTATACCAACAAATGCCCCTTTGCTAACTAAAATCCAACGGGAAAAAGTATTTTTAGTCCTTATAGTTTGCCTTTTTTTTTAATTTTTTTAATTTTTGTAATTAAAAACGTATAGCCGCACGGCTATACTACGGTTTCCCTATTTTTAAAAAAGGGTATATCCGGGCGGCTATACACAGTTTTTTTTAAAAAGCCAACCGGCTATACTCGGTTTTATTGGTGTTTATTTTAAAAAATAGTATAGCCGAACGGCTATATTGACTTTGACGCGCAGGCGCCCCATCGCCGACCGGCTGTACTCGATATTTGCTAAATTGTTTTTTAAAATAGTGTAGCCGGGCGGCTATACACTTTATATAGTGGGATTTTTTCCAGTATAGCCGAACGGCTATACACGGTTTTGTTATAGTTTTTCTTTAAAATAGTATAGCCGCGCGGGTTTGACTAAATTGTATTTTAAAATAGTATAGCCGCACGGCTATACGCTTTGTATAGTGGGAATTTTTTTTGTATAGCCGCGCGGCTATACTCGGTTTTGTTCTAAAAAAAAAAGTTTTTGAAGTCCAATTGTTTTTGTTCCCTCTCACTTTGAGTTCATTCTAATCAAGTTGCTTAGCTGTTGTTCTAAATTATGTAGCACATATCATGCTGTAGTCCATTTTTAGTTTCAATGGAGCAGAGATTTTTCAAATTACAAGGAGGTTGGCTTTGCACTTCACTGCTATGCTATGTTATCTCATCATGTCATTCACAGTTTCTATGTTATGATTCAAATTAGACTTAATAAAAACTATCTATATTGCGGAAGATGCATCTTCTGATATAAGAAATAATAACAAGAAGCGACGCCATTGTCAACTAAAGAATGTCGACACCGACAACTCTTCTGGCTGGATCTATAAGTTTTATTGTAAAGTAATTGTAGATCCAGCAATGTGTACTGCCATTTATACTTTGATTTTAATTCATTACACGAATGGCAAATTAAAATCCTCATGCATTTCTACTGCGCACCCTCACTGGCAATCCACCTTTTATCCTGAGAGTCAGCGACAACAGATGCTCAGGACACGTGTTCTTATTTGGTACGTCCATCTCAAACCTCTCCATCACAGACGCTGCAATCGACTTCATCTGAATATAAGCCAGATCTTTTCCGAGACACATCCTCGGCCCGGCGTGAAATATCGGAAACCGAAACGCACTCTCCAGCTGACACGTGCCATCATCGTCCTTGAGCCACCTCTCAGGCAAATACTCACCGCACTTCTTCCCCCATATCCCCTCCATCCTTCCCATGGCATACGCGTGGTACGTCACGAACCACCCCTTCCTCAGAATCGTCCCATCCGGCATGACGTCGTCGTTTAGGCAAGCCTTTGTGTCCACCGGTACGGGAGGATACAGTCTCATAGCCTCCGAAATGGCCGCGTGCAGATAGTGCATATCTCGGAGCTCGTCGAAACTATACGTATCGCCGATACTTTTACCGTTTCGGATCCGAATCGTTTCTAGCTCCTTTAAAATGGCGAGCTGGACGCGTGGCCTGGACGACAAGAGCCAAAAGAACCAAGTCAGAGCCGAAGATGTGGTGTCTCGGCCGGCGAGAATGATGCTGATGATGATATCTCGGAGAAACTCGGGCGAGTTGTTGTCTTCAGTAATCCCCATAAACCGGGACAATAAATCTTGATGGTCTCCCAATTCTTCGACTTCCATTCTGGACCTTATGATATTATCAGCGAAGTTATGAACGGTTGCGATTGATTCTTTCAACTTTCGCTCTGATCCAACGTTGAAGAACTTCTTAATCTTGAACACAAACGCAAAAGCATACAAGAACCTCCCCGAGATAAGCGTGGCTGCGTCGTCAAAAGCCTTCATGAACTCGTCGGAACCGGAAGCCGTTTCTCCATCGCCGCCGCCAAGACAAACCGGGTCGACGTTAAAAGCCAATTTACAAACATTGTCAAACGCAAAGCGTTCCAAAACGTCTTGTAAATCTAAACGACATCCCGTTTCGGCGGCTTTCGCCAAACACGGAATGAGCCTGGACTGAATCTCAGTTTTCACATTTTCCATGACAAAGTTTCGGAGGGATTTTGTGTTGAAGGCATAGCTGGCAGTCTTTCGCTGGACTTTCCAGAGCTCACCGTCAGCGTTAAAGATTCCGTGGCCGAGAAAATCTTCAATAAGCGAGATGAACCGGTCGCCTTTTGGGTAGTTGTCGAAGTTGGTCTTGAGCATGTGCTCCACGTTTGACGGGTTGGCGGTTATGATGCCTCCGATTTTGCCTGGGCGGCGGAAGACGGCGGTGTTGGTGGGGCAGGCTGTGAGGATTTCGGTGGTCCAGTCGAGAAATCGGTGGCGGTTCTTGAGGAAGGAGGGTAGGGTTCCGACAATCGGGTAGACTCTGAAGCCTGTGGCTTTGTATTTCTTAGGTGAAGTGAAGAATTGCCGGTAGAGATAGACGGAGAGGAAGATAAGAAAGAGGAAATATTGGAGAGATAAGAGCTCCATGGCATTGGCTAATAGATTAGTGCGGTGACATATGTTCTTCTATATAGTGGACTAGGAATGAGTGTAAGCGGCTCTAGCGCTTTTTTTTTTTTATAACTTTAAAACAATATCTAAGGATAGGATCTCCTAGATATTTGATATAAAGTTGCCATCTCATTAAAACATAATCTAAGGGTTAATATTTGGACACGTGTATATTAAATTGTATTTGGCAACGTGTGAGACGACTCAACATTTTGAAAATACTAACAGAGGATACGAATTCCTTGTTTATATACGTAATTGAGAAAATTGAATTTAAATTTCTCTTTGGACATTAAAAAAAGAAGTACCACATCAGAGTTTTTGTATATATTATCTTATTAAATGTAACAATTGCATTTTGAATTTAATTCAAATTTTGATGCGATTTAAAATGAAGTTTCTATAATTTGGAAGCTTAATTTTTTAGTTTTTAGATAAATTGACTGAAACGTTTTGTTGCCTCTTGCTTTATCTTCAACACTATTCCAGAGAGAGAGGTGTAATTTTGTCTTCGTTCATTTGTCTTATACTAACAATAATGTAAAAAAATATGGGAATTATATTAGGTACACGATGACTAGGGGTGGGCATTAATTCGGTTGAACAGATAAAACCGACCAATTTAATGGTAAAGCCGATAAAACCGACCTCTTATTATTATTATTATTATTATTATTATTATTATAGAAAATATGATATTTTATTCAATCGAAATGAACATTACATGATAAGAACTAACATGTTAATATAGGCTTCGTTAAAACTTTTACAGAGAAACAAAATCTCGGAATAGGAAAGAGTACCGCCCATAATATGGATTAACAAAAGAGTCAAACAACTTATACGAAACAAACCAACCTAAACCCCAACCACAAAACCTTTAAAATAACATTCCTTCACTACATAGGTACCGTTAAATGAGTCCTCCTATGATCTAGAAAAAACATCATAGTTCTTCATAAAAAGTCAAAAACGTATTGTGGGTATCAAAATAGATCCAGCCAATCACCCAACCGCAAAACCATTGAAACACATCCTACCACTGCGCATATACTGTCAAAGAAAGCCTCCTATGATCTAAAGAAAGCATTATAATTCTTTGAACATAGTCAAAAACGTATTGTGAGCATCATAACAAATCCAGCCAAACACCAACCGCCACCTCCAATTTTCTTGATCCAGAACCCCAGCTGACAAACGAGAGAGACCAATATTGGCCTCTTAGCCTGAAGAAAATTTCGAAGAAAGATCTTCATAATAGGAACGTTCATCAGTTGTCAAGCCCATGAATGTTTCATAGGATAATTATTACGGAGGTGTTGGAGACCCCTCGAGGCTAGTCTCCTCCTCATTGTCAACAAAATTCAAAAAGACAATCAGAGAAAACTAAGAGAGACGGCACAGAGAATAAGTAAAGAAAACTGGAGAAACCCTAACCCTAGTCATCAAGGCTCGCCTCGCATGAACGAGAGAGCGACCCAAAAACCGACCAATTTAAACTGTAATTATTGATTTGATTTGATTTTGAAGTGAAATTGATTTAATTTAGACCGTGCCCACCCCTAACGATGATTGACTGGCCTGCTTCATTTGGTGATATAGGGTTCAAAAGCTACATTTGTCAATTAAACAAGCAGAATGTTGTAGCTCTCTACTCTTATGTCATCATTTTCATTTGAAGCATTCAATTCAAGCATCTATACAAATAATAATAATATGTCGTATTGTTTTGGCTTAGCACCACACAGTTACTGTGAGAGAGAGAGAGTCTACTGTTAATGTATATCCTGGTCCATGAGAGAATCTCTGTGCCACACAGAGCCCAGAACCGGATATTTTCCATTTCCACAGAATGATTCTCCTACGACGTGTCGTTAATTAACACCATTAGAAAATCGAAGGCACTGCCCACGGTCATGGACACAGCCTGTATATGCCACACATTCCGTTGCAGTCATTTTGTGGCACAGACACAGAGTGAGCAACAGAGAGAGTGAGAGAGAGTGAGAGAGGCTCATGGCTGCCATCTGCGGTCGAGTCGCCCTTTCACCTAACCAGGGATTCAATCTCGCTAAATCAGGTACTTTTCTTTCTGGGTTCTTTCAATTTTGGGCAAAAAGTTGAATTTTACTCAAGTTCTTTATACCATAAGTTATGTGTTCTCAGGTGGAATCCATTTATTTATAGAGATGTGTTATCTGAAAATATACATGATTATGGCTCAAAGCTATAAATTTTGCGGTTAATTTTTTTGGAAATTGGAAAATAGTGAATGAAATGAAGGCTAAGAAAAAATTGATAATTGAAGCTTCCGTTTTGCGTATTAGGAACAAGGCACATAAAGATTTCGTGCTTTAAATTTAACAGTGGTTTGTTTTCTCAGTAAACAATGCTGGATTTGTTGATTTCAATGTTTTTATTGCAATTTATGTGGCAGGGGATAAACATTATTTTCATAAACAATGCTCAAGCCGGAGCATCTTGATGACAGCATCAAGCACCAGGCTTGGAAAAGGTGGTGGGTTGCTGGAAAAGCCAACCATAGAGAAAACAACACCTAGTCGTGACTCTGAATTTGACTTGAGGTATGTATTCTCATGCCTTGATTAATGGGTAGCTGTAAATTAAGTAGAAAAATTTACCTCAAATTCAGCTCAGTACAAAATTAAGATGTGAATGCAACAATGAAGCTTTCAAAGAAACAGAGCACTTCATGTTCATAATCTGCATTTCTATATTCGATTGAGGGTTGAAAACAAATTGTTTAAGTAACCCTTTTGTCTATTTGCATGTATTATTTCATATGTTAGTTAACATTAGAAAATTGAAGTAATTTTCAAGATGGGTTGATCAAATGTTGCAGGAAATCAAGGAAAATGTCGCCGCCTTACCGTGTGATGCTGCACAATGACAACTACAATAAGAGGGAGTATGTTGTGCAAGTTCTGATGAAGGTTATCCCAGGAATGACAGTTGACATTGCAGTGAACATAATGCAGGAGGCACATCACAATGGCCTGGCAGTCGTCATTGTGTGTGCTCAAGTGGATGCAGAAGACCACTGCATGCAGCTCAGAGGCAATGGCCTTCTAAGTTCCGTTGAGCCCGCTAGCGATGGATGTTGAGGAGTGCTTGCTTGTAGTCTATTAGTTATCATATCATAAACAAAATAATTACCTACAATTTACACAAAGAATTGAACTTGTTAGGTTACAGCCTTATCAGTAAAAGCTATATATGATGGCATGCTTGTTTATATGTACATAAACTTGCTCATATTAAGGTGAACTGTTTCAGTTCAGGCATGTTCTGTTTATGTTCTTCATTTAATTAAAGAAACAGAGAGAAGAGAGATGATGGGAAAAAAAAGAGAGGAGGATTATATAGACCTCATTCTTTTATTGCTCATAGTTTTCATTTGATTAAGAACAATACTGGTTGGCAAGATGGAGGGGGTGTTTGTGCAGCCACCCATGTCTGCATTTTCAATCTGGTTTCAGACGAAACGATTTCATATAACAGAAGCCCCATTTTCATCTTTCATTTGAGTATAAGGAAGGGTATTGTCTTCCCTCAAAGAAAAAGGAAGGATCTTGCACGAAGCGTTTGTATGATATCTGAAAATGTTTTAGCCAAAACGAATTTCGGATGGTTATTATGCGTTTGTGAAAGTTCAAACTGGAAAATAAAAGATTTCAGGAATGGATCACGAGATGCACGAGCAGCGCCGTGTATTGGTGGTAAAAATGAGCACAAAAGGGAAAAAATAGCTGAAACTGGAGACGCGGGGAATCGAACCCCGTGCCTCTCGCATGCGAAGCGAGCGCTCTACCATATGAGCTACGTCCCCATGTCGTTCCATTCCTGAATTCTAAAATATAAAACGACAGTAGTAATTTTTTTTTAAAAAATAAAAAAATACCCTCAAACAAATACATTTGCTTTGGCAACCTTCTATGTCCCTCTAAAATCAGCAGCCCCAATAGAATTGCAGACTAGAGAGTTGTGGCTTTAAATTATGGCAAACATATTTGTTTTCTTCCATAGTAAACCACAATGAAAAGTGAACTGCGAGTCATCCACGCAGATGCATAGAATTAGATAGCATGCCTTTGCAAGAAAACCCAATTTTATCTTATTGACATGGGCACAACCACAATTTACTGCACTAGCAAGGTATCAACAAGCTTAGACGCATTTGAAAGCTTCTTCTTCTTGCATACCATCGAAATCACCATTGCCCAGGTGTCCACATGAAGAACATTTCCGTTTCCCAGACTAGTTAAAACTGTCCTTAACAACTCCATATCACCTTCCCGACACAACCCCTCAACAAGTTTATGTGCACTTAGACGATAGGGTGCATAACCCTTGAAGATCAGCTCATCTAAAATAAGTGCTGCTTCTCTGAACTGCCTGCAATCACAAAGTCCAGTAAACATTATTCGATATGAAACCACATCTGGAGTGCATCCACGTCTTGGTAAATCTTCGAACAAATCATTTGCTTCACTCCATTTCCCTTCCTGACATAGTCCACCAAGAATCGCATTGTAACTAATAACATCTGGCTCACACCCTTTCTCCACCATCTCATCCAAAACTTTATATGCTGCTTCAAAATCCTTCTCCTTGCAAAACCCATTAATCATTGCATTGTACGTTACAGTATTAAGTTTGCACCCATACTCGCTCATTTCCTCAAGAAGCCCAAAAACCTCCCCTTTCCTACCAAGCTTGAAAAGCCCGCTGATTAAAGTCGAATAAACCGCTGCATCTGGTTTGATTTTTCTCATTATCATCTCCTCCTTAAGCCTAAAAGCCAAACTCATTTCACCAATCTTGCAGAGTCCCTTCATCAAGGAGGTATACACGAATATAGTAGGCGGCACCCCATATACCCTCGCCATATCCTCTTTCAACGTGAAAGCTTCTTTCAACTTCAAATTCGAACAAAGGCAATAAATCAAACTCGCCATTGTCACTGAATTCGGGGGAATACCCTTTCTAGACATTTCATCGAGCACCTTCCACGCATCATCCAAGTACTCATTCGAACAACAAGCTTTCATCAGTATATTATAAGTACATGCATCCGGGGCCGCGTATTTGTCAATACACACAAAGAATTTCCACATTTTCTCAAACTCGCCACACCTGAGAAGCGCATTCAACAATGAATTAAATGATTTCACGGTCCGATGGCAACGAAATGTGGGAATTTCATCGAACATTTGGAGTGCACGGTCGGGGAGGTGAGCGCGACCGTAGAACGAAATGACATTGCAAAAGATGATTTCGGGGGGAGCAAAGCGGGTTTCTTGCTTCAATTGGTGAAGGATTTGGTCCATTTGGTCGAACATTTTGGCGCGGCCGAGCTTGGTGATGATGAGGTCGTAGGAAAGGAGAGAGTAGCGGAAAGGCTTTTTGGGTTGAGGAGTTGAATCAGAGTTGGGATTTTGGAAGAGTTGGAGAGCGAGAATTGGGTCCTTCTGGAGACGTAGGAGAGAGGAAAACCTGAAGGGAGAGAGAGACTTTGAAGCATTCATTTTCTTCTGTTTGGAGGTCAATCTGGTGCTTTGGTTTGGCTATACTGTTATAAGTTCCCGCCAAATACCGGCAACGGCTATTATTGGAATTCGGAAGTGAACGAAAACGAATAAGAGAATTAGACCGGCAATTCTTAAAATGGACACCCCCAAGAAAATGAACTTGTTAAGATTATATATCTAACTAATTCCGATCGATCACAAGCTTCAGGTAAATTCTGGACGTGTATAAATTCGAGAGTATTTTGAATGCCTTTGTGGTTTTTATTAAGGATGTTTAGTTTTTTTTTTTTAAACGGCTTGTAACTCACGTGCTCAAAAAAGATATATTTAGTTGTAACTCAAGATTATGGTCTTCCTACGAACTTAGAAAGAAAGTGACGGTTCTTGACCTCAATTATTAATACCACCTTTAATCACATCATCAATTGAACCCAGTCGCTAAACTTTTACGCTTGCCCAAAAAAGGAGTAGCAAAAAATCAAAACAGAACACAAGAAAACAAATGACTCTGTTCCGGCATTGATTAATTGCTTGCTTGCTGCCATATCCAAAGCACAGAATTAAGCAAAAAATTAAGAAAAGAATCTCGTTGTTAATTACAATTTTCTGCATGAGAAATTCGATTTATTTAGCTTATTGTGCTACAGGAAAAAAAGAAAAGAAAAAAGATTAGGCATAAATCAGAGGTGCGAAAGCGATTTTCTTTATCAGTGGTCCATTTGCATATCTGTAATATCATATCCGCCTTCCATTTGCATGATTCTGCTGCATACACAAAATGCTTTCACATTTAAAAAGGTCTGGGGTGCTATTTTATATTCGGAATTGACCTATGATTTGATGTGATTAATTTATAAATGGAGTTGGAAGTTGTTTTCATGGTGTAAATGAACATTCATTCATTTTTTCTTTTAAACGAATCGGCTACAATGATAAGATACCAGTATTGTCATGAAGAATTGACAATATCTATTTCTGGTTTGTACACCAGCGATTTCTGTAAGATTATGTATAGTATGTAATGAACAAAAGAGGAAAAAAGAACTCACAGTTTCTAAAGTCAAAGTTCTTTTTCGGAGAACATAAAATTTTCCACAATTGAATCGCAAGTAAGCGAAAAGTAAAGTCTGAATATACGCAAAAAAAAAAACTTCATTAATACGAGAGTTATTTCTTTCAACGAATCCGTTTCGCCATGTGCTCATGGAAGCTCATTTTTTGACTGATGCGTACGTTTTGCCAAGTCCTTCTCAATTACGTGACAAAATTTGAATTCTTTCTTTGGATAGTGATATTATTCTGGCTTTCAACTTTGATCCTATGGAATAAGATTGTTACCGTGGCTTCTTTTTGTAAATTAAGTTTCTCAAGCCCCAAAAAAAACAGAGATGCAGTAAATAAATTATGTTTTACATGTCATGGCCTTTATCACTTGCCACCGGTACGGATCCAGAAAGAATGCGAGGGCTCATCATCACTTCATTTGAACCCAACCCAACCCAATCACGAAACTTTTACCTCTGCCCCAAAAAGGAGGAGAAAATAGTAAAACTTGATACACAGAGAAAACAAAAGACTCCCGACATTGCTGCCAGCCACAGAAGAGAACAGCACACAAGCAGAAAATTAAAAAAATATTATCAATTTCTGCAATAACAGAAGGAAAATAAAATAAAATTGAAACATAGATTTCACAGTGGCCTGGCCTCCATTCTCCACCCAAAACAAGTTAAATTACTTTGGGCCCCACTCCACTTCCCAGCTCCCACTTTAATGCTTTTCCTCTAACTAAGCCAAGCCTGACGTGAGCATCTTCTCTCTCTCTCTCCCGTTCTCTGTCTCTTTCTCTACTAAATAAAGCCAAGCTCCACTTCACTTCCTTCTCATCTCTCTCTCTCTCTCTCTCTCTCTTTCTGAGCTCTCTCTCTCTCTGCTTTCTGCAACAGAGAAAAATGGCTCAGACCGCATTTCTTTACTTGGCCATTTTCTCAGCCTTCACACTCACTGCGCTGTTTCCTTCCACACTCTCTCGCAGCTTATCAGAAGAAACATCCACGCTTCTCGACGTCTCTGCCTCCCTCACCCAAGCCCATGTCGTCCTCTCCTTCAACCCTGAAACCCTCAAACCATTGGACCGCCAAGAAACCCAGGCCCAGACCCATTCTCTCACTCCTCTCAACTCCTCCTTCTCTCTCCAACTCCTTCCCCGCGACGCTCTCCACAACTCACAACACAAGGACTACGAATCCTTAGTCCTCTCCCGACTCGGTCGCGACTCCGCCCGAGTCAACTCGCTCCACACCAAGCTCCAGCTGGCGGTTCAGAACATCAAGAAGTCCGATCTCGAACCCATGCACACCGAGATCCGACCCGAGGACCTCTCCACCCCGGTCGTGTCGGGTGTGAGCCAGGGAAGCGGCGAGTACTTCACGCGCATCGGCGTCGGCACCCCGGCCAAGTCCTTGTACATGGTGCTCGACACCGGCAGCGACATCAACTGGCTCCAATGCGAGCCTTGCTCTGACTGTTACCAACAAACCGACCCGGTTTTCAACCCCACCGGATCCTCCACTTACCACCCGGTCACGTGCGACTCCGCGCAATGCCATTCTCTTCATGTGTCCGCCTGTCGTGCCGACAAGTGCCTCTACCAGGTGTCCTACGGCGACGGGTCATACACCGTCGGCGATTTCGTGACGGAAACGGTGTCGTTCGGGAACTCGGGCGCGATCCATAACGTCGGCTTGGGGTGCGGGCACGATAACGAGGGATTATTCGTCGGGGCCGCCGGGTTACTGGGCCTGGGCGGTGGGGCTTTGTCACTTCCTTCGCAATTCAAAGCGACGTCGTTCTCGTACTGTTTGGTGAACCGCGATTCGTCCACGTCGTCGACCCTGGAGTTCAACTCAGCACCACCCAGTGACTCGGTGACGGCGCCGTTGTTGAAGGACAGCAGGGTCGAAACGTTTTACTACGTGGGGCTGAAGGGGTTCAGTGTGGGCGGCCAACCGGTGTCGGTCCCACCTTCGGTTTTCGAGGTGGATGAGTCGGGGAACGGCGGGATCATTGTGGACTCGGGCACGGCCATAACTCGGTTACAGACGGAGGCCTACAACTCGCTACGGGACGCGTTTAAGAGATTGACTCGGGACCTGCCGAGTGCGAGTGGATTTGCACTGTTCGACACGTGTTACGACCTGTCGTCGCGGTCCAGGGTTCAGGTCCCAACGGTGTCGTTTCTGTTTGCTGGTGGGAAGTCGCTGAGTCTGCCCGCGAAGAACTACCTGATTCCCGTGGACTCGGCGGGAACGTTTTGCTTCGCTTTTGCTCCGACGTCGTCGTCTCCGTCCATCATCGGGAACGTCCAGCAGCAGGGGACACGTGTGAGCTATGATTTGGCAAACAACCGCGTGGGTTTCTCGGCAAATAAATGTTAAATTTGTGAAGTAAAAACAAAAAGAAGGTTAAAAAAAGGTATTAGAAGTAAGTTTAGGTTTGGAGTTTGGGTTAGGAGGTAACAGGTTGGGATTGTGAGTGAAATATTATGTACGGGGAGCCGGGGCTACCTATTTATCTCTCATAAATTATAATCGGGTGAAAAATGAAGAAAAAGAACAAGGTTGGTGGCTAAGGCTTTTACACCTGAATTCGATTTCTATCCCGTATATTAAAAGTATTTATTACAGGTGCGGTGTTGGTGGTGGTTCTTGAATTGTACACAAGACAGGCTGAGTTTATTTTGAATGTCAATATTAATGTATTTGGGTAAGAGTGGGGCCCATGCCCATCTACTGTATAAATTCGGAGCTGAATTATATGCTTGAATTGAATCGCTAGTGTTGTCTGTCAGCAATGTATTGATTTTGTTGGTGGCAAATTAGTCCAAGTTGAGGGCTCTCACTCACTCACTCACTTACGTTATACAATACGTTGCCAAAGGCTTGCTTGCATGCGTGCCTCGTGGCATTATATATTTTCTTTTCTTTTGTTTGATTAGATTAGATTAGATTTATATATATATATATATTGGTGACTCTCTCTGCGTACTGCATGTGAATTTTGGAGGCGTTTAGATAGGCGCATTATTTGTTTGGCTCCTTCCCTTACCCGGTCCTCCTTGCGAATTCGCTTTCTTTCACTTTCGCTTGTGAATGTGGGGGAGTCGGTCACATGCATTGCCTGTAGGGTCCACTTTTGGAAGTGGAAGACAACGTATGCCATGTAGGATTCACGCACTTTGACCTTGGGTCCCTACACTTTCCTTTGTGGGCCTAAGTACCGTGATTGTCGGCATGGGCCGTTTGTCTTTTCTGACGCGTGGGAGTGTTTCTTCATCATCCACGGTCGACATACCCACATCAATCTACTAATACTATACCATTACCATGCCCAGCCCAAATTCAACCTACAATTTCATTTTGCAAATGGTAAAAAAAACGATAAACTGCAATAAAAATGCATACTTGTTCTCCATCCAGATATTTAGAGGAAAATCGGGCAGAGAATTTGGGTTGGGACCCTAGTGTGTGAAAATCATTTAAACGCCATAAAATTTAGGTCAAACATCAATGGCAACTACCATATGCAGTTATGGGAGGGTCCCAAGACCCGGCAGAAAAGTTTGGGATCCTAGTGTGTACATTTAATTCCTTTAATTGAGGAAAAAAGTTTGGCACAGCCACTCCTTCCGTTTTTATAATTGCTATGTTTGTATATGCAGTAAAATTTGTGTGAAACGGGAATGACACTGGATAGAGAAATAGAAGAAAGAAGGTAGTGGGATAAGAAAATGTGGGCCTTGCTTCTTCTGTGAAAAGCTGCAGCGGAATAAAAGTCAAAAAAGTTACCACAATAAGCTGCATAACAAAATAAGAAATTGTTCCCTTGCCCACTTGCTTCATTTTAAAATTGACTGATTTTAAGCTGGTAGACTAATTTTCACATGTGGGAACCCACATACGCATAGTCGGTAACCCTTAAACAGATTTTGCTGAAAGGTCGCAGGTCCTGCATGTACGCTGTTGAGTTTGAAAATATCGGTCAACCATAAGATATTGCAAAAGGTGGGTGACTTGTGAGTTTGAAGATACTGAGATTACTTGGACTTTTCACATATGACGAGGAAAAAAACACAAAATGTGGGAACGTTTTGCTTTTACCTGGACCTCTTCACATGCCACGCCTTTTAACAAAAAGAAGAAAAAGAATCAAGTTTAGAAATGCATCATACAAGTTTAGAAACGAAAAACAAAACAATGATAAAAAGTACCAAGTCGCTAATTCTCAAGTATATAGCTGCAGCTGCTCGTTCGGAGAAAGAATGTTGGAACTAATCTAGTGGATTGGAAATTTCAGACGGGGCTTTGTCTTCAAAGTAGTATTGTGAGTCAGTGTCACTACCAGATACTAATGAACAACGATGGATGGTTCACCAGAATAAGAATTTCTGAAGTAATATGCTTCTCAAGATAACAAACGAAGCAATTTAACCACATTGTTCCAAGGGTTTGGCACTATTAACAAATGTTGCGCTTTTGTTGAACCCCTCAAGCAAAAGAATACGCACCGCTTCTACACCATCTTGAAATGTAAAATTCAACTGAAAAGCATGTCTAGTAGTTAGAGTCCAGTATCAATCTAAACATAGGTTTCTCCAGAAGTTGCATCAGAAACTCAACAAACCTCTTCAAGTTCTTGTTTAGTAAAGGGACGAAGAACAAAGTTCACAGGATCCATTTTCCCAGGAGGCCGTCCAATGCCTACAGAAATTCTCCAATTCAATGACATAATAAATTACGTAATTTTTAAAATAGTATAGGCAAACACTTTTAGTGCTCTAGGGAAAATACCGATTCTTAAACGAGGAAAATCTCGACTCCCTTTAAAGTGATCAATGACACTCCTCATCCTGCAAAACAATGGCTTGATAAACCAAAGAAAAGATTTACATGCAACAAAACAGTCTTACTACAAGCAGGGAAAGAAAATCCACAAGTCACCACAGGTTCTTTCTAGTTTGAAATGTCACTGTGCAGCAAAAAATGTTTATAATTTTTATATTCATTCCTGATGACAGGATGATCGTGGTTTGGGACAATGATATCATTTCTCATTGTGTCCAAGATAATACATATAGATCTGGAATACAGAGAAAAAGTATTCGTTTGGGTATCTTCAGGATCTGACAGGGTCCTTTCAAACTACAGGTCTAGGATACAGTGGTAGAGTTGCTCATTTGAAATATATTTTCCTTAGACACAGAGTTAAATCTAACACAAACTAGTACATTAGCTACAACAGAAAAGTAACATGGCAATGTGCAATTACCCATTGTGTCCTCCATGTCCACCTTTTGGCAACAGCCGCAGTTTTGCAAAGGGGAGATCTAGATCATCAAAGATCTGAAAAAATATATATTTCAAGAAATTTGAACATGGTAGAGAAACAGGACACTCTGACTCAGAAAACAAGAGGGAAAAAAAAAACAGAGAAAGAGTAGAGATTAAGTCAAGATAGGGAGAGAAACTGCACCACAAGTACTTGCTTCAATGGAATCTTGTAATACGAAACAATGGATCCAACCTTCAACAAAGGGTCCAAATATCAACCAATCATCTCAGAAACATATTAAAATATTAAGACAAATCCTGAGATAGCTTACTTACTGACTCACCGCTTTTATTCATGAAAGTTTGTGGTTTGGCAAATATAACTGGAACATCCCCGATAAGGCCTGGAATATGGAAACAAGCTCTATTTGGATTAAAGTTTGCCATAAGAGTTGGGAATCTTGAAAACAAAGTGAAGGATTATTTATCGATAAGCTTGATAAATTCACAAACAAAATGAGATTGTAAATTGCAGAGACGTGTGAAAAAGATATATGCACAAAAATTATGCAAAAGTGAACACACACAATAAAGCAAAGTTAGCAAATTCAGTTGCTGGTTTGGTTTTGCAACCAATCAAACTATATTTCAAACGATCAACATGAGAGAGAGAATAAAGACAACAGAATTGGGTAGTTCCAGCATGTGCAGATAATCACACAAGTGGGGAAAATAAGGTCAACGTAAGCTTCAAGAGCAAATGGTGATCCATTACTCACTAACAAAACTTATCCACGAGATATGTTGTACATTTGAAATTGTATTAAAATTCAAAGCAATTGAACCTTTTCCGACCAGGGCTTTGAAAGAAACACTGCTCAATGATATCCCTTCAGCTTCAGCTATAGCATCCACCATCTCAAAACCCACCTGAAAAGAACACCACCGCCATATATTATTGCAATTTGCAAGCTTCAGATTTCCATATAGCACAACATTAATCAGATAGAGTTAAATCAAGAAGAAAACCAGGCAACATTCATATGATGGGAAAATTAGCGTCTAAAACAGCTATGAGGAGCAAAAGTGTGAACTTTGGGGTCAACTTGAATTTTCAAAAGCGAACTAAAAACACAGAGCTTTGAGGGGTCGTACGAACATTGTGGCGGGTGCTGTGGTATTTCTTTCCGGGGTTTCCAAGGCCGACGATGAGCCACGGCTGCTTGGGCGGCTTCTTGGATTCGACAGCCGCCGTGTTCGAGCTCATTGGCAGCGCAGATGAGGAGGAGGGTGATGACGAGAATTGAGAAATTATCCGAAGCGACGAAGATGGAATTAGGGTTTTTGAGGAGCGAAAACAGCGGTGGCAATTGGGGAAGCGAACGGTGGCAATAGATGATAGAGAAGCAGCAACGTTCATATTTTTTGTTTTACTTATTTATACAAACCAATAATTAGCTGAGGGTTTGAGAAATATATAGATAAACCCTACGGCTGAAACTAGGAGGAAGGTGAGGAAGAATGAATTTTCAGTTTACAAGGGTGTTTGGCGTTAGGGAAAATGAATTTTCGATACCCATTTTTTACCCATTTTTTATAAAAACGTTATAGCCGCGCGGCTTTACTATTTTTGACACTTGACACCTAGGTGCAAAGTGGGTCTTTTTTTAATATAAAAAAATCGTATAGCCGAGGGGCTATACCCGGTTTTTAATTTTTTAAAATTGTATAGCGGCGCGGCTATACTCAGTTTTATTAATTATTAAAAAAATAGTATAGCTGTGCGGCACTACTTATTTTGACACGTAGGCGCCTAATCGTTGGGTAGGTCCTCTTTTATTATTTTTTTATAAAGCGTACCGCCGTGCGGCTATACACGAATTTTTTAAATTTTTTTAAAAATTGTATAGCCGAACGGCTATACTGGATTTTCAGTAAATTGTTTTTAAAAATAGTATAGCCGGTATTCTTTATAAAAAATATATATATATATAAAGCCGCTCGGCTATAGAATGGCGAGCCGCTTTTTTTTTAGTACAGCCGTTCGGCTATACATGGTTTTGTTCTTATTTTTAAAAAATAGTATAGCCGCTCGGCTAAACATGATTTGCTGAATTCTTTTTATATAAATTTATAAATAAACCCAATCCTAGGCATGTATTTATAAAAAAACCCAAGTACTATTTAAACATAGAAACACACCCAAAATCAACCCCAAAATCAACAATTGTATATTTTTTGGGTGTGTTTATAAATGGGTTTTGAGTGTGTGTAATGATGGGTTTTGGGTGTGTTTATAAAGTGTTTTGGGTGTTGGGTTTTTTTATAATTTCAGCCTCCATTTTGGGTGTTTTAGTGAAACTCCCTTGTTTTTAAACATAGTATCGCCGCACGGCTATATGTTAATATATATTTTTTTAGTATAGCCGCGCGGCTAAACCCTGGTTTGTTCTAATTTATTAACAATAGTATAGCCGCTCGGCGTTACGGATTCTGGCACGTGGCTCCTAGGCGCTGTCTGGTCTTTTTTAATATATATATAAACAGTATAGCCGTCCGGCTATACATGGATTTTAAATTTTTTATTATTATAGCCGATCGGCTATACTCGGTTTTGTTAATGTTTCTACAAAAATAGTTTTTGAAGTCCTTGTTTTTGTTCACTCTCGCTCTGAGTTCATTCTAATCAAGTTGCTTAGCTGTTGTTCTAAATTAATTAGCATATGTCATGTTGTAGTTCATTTTTAGTTTCAATGGAGTAGAGATTTTACAAATTACAAACAAGTTTGCTTTGCACTTGACTCAAACCTCTCCATCACAGACGCTGCAATCGACTTCATCTGAATATATGCCAGATCTTTTCCGAGACACATCCTCGGCCCGGCATGAAATATTGGAAACTGAAACGCAGTTCTTTCTCCATATCCCCTCCATCCTTCCCATGGCGTACGTGTGGTACGTCACGAACCACCCCTTCTTAAAAATCGTCCCATCTGGCACGACGTCGTCGCTTAGGCAAGCCTTTGTGTCGACCGGTACGGGAGGGTACAGCCTCATCCTCATGGCCTCCGAAATGGCCGCGTGTAAATAGTTCATGTCTCGGAGCTCGTCGAAACTATACGTATCGCCGATACTTTTACCATTTCGTATCTGAATTGTTTCTAGCTCCTTTAAAATGGCGAGCTGGACGATTGGCCTGGACGACAAGAGCCAAAAGAACCAAGATGTGGTGACATTTGTTTGAGAAAATGCTCTTGCCTCTCCATTAGATGTGCAATATATAAGTTTAGTCCAATGACGTGTACTTGACTGAACATTATCTCTCAAAAATTACACAAGAACTGTGTGTGTCAGTTTAAGAAAGTATTGTGTAATTTGTTTCCTGGATTCAAGTGGGATTTCAAAAACCTCGAACAAGCATTTGAAGAGTGAGGAAAGCTGTATGGGATTGGATTGGGAACATGGACAAAGTCCATCTCTTTGGCGGTACTGAGCCTCAACAAGTCAACAAGTCCTCAACAAGTCCAGTTGCAATCATAAAATAAAACCACCAACAATTCACTTGTCTAGTTTCTTCTACAAAATGATTAGTTAGAAATTAACACCAAGGCCAAACATAAACGGTCAACTTATTTCTTATCATTCATATATGAAATTTTCAGAGGAAATGGCCGAACATAAAACGTCAACTTCTTTATGATTTTTTTACAGGAGACAGGAATGAAGAATGTATCATCAATCTATCACAACCAGCTTCTGATACTCTTCGCCGGAGATGGCTACTTCCATGGTAAGATCCGGGTGAATTTCCCCATCACCATCCAAGAATATCTTCATCAAATTCTTGGAGAAGCCACTCAACAGCGCCACCCCTGGTTCTGTACTCGGCACTGGCGTAGACATAGAATGTCTCAGATTCCAAAACACGATCTGTGGCACTGCATTCTCGTACCCTTTCTCCTTATACTTCCTCTGTATTACCTCATAATCAGTCTCCCAACTATTGCTCGAAGCCTCATCGAACTCCATGTCGCTGAACACGAAGATCCTCTTTATCATATGCTCTGGCTTCAAATTCCCATTCACGGCCACTTGGAGAAGCAAATCAAACACCTTTTGGAAATCAGTGTTCATGCCCCAGTCCATCCTCCTCACAAATTCACACTTGGACCTAAGATCATCCCCTTCTATCAAATGCAGCTGAGGGTTTTCACTGAAAGTGATGACCTTTCCCTTCCATGGCTCTTCACTCAGTTCGGACGCCAACAATCCCAAAGCCACAGACACCTCCATTGGGGTTCCAGCCATGCTTCCTGAGACGTCACATACAGCCAAGCTATTCTTCATCTTCCCTTCCTTTAGCATGTCATCCACCATTTTCTTCCACTGAAGCAAGGCCACTTGATCTTCCTTGTCATCGTCATTCTGGTCATCGGAAGAAGAAGACCACCCTATATTATTCAGTTGGGCTATGATCTCATGCGGAAGCAAAGCACCCGCCGCAATTGTGGACTTGCCTGCTTTCACGTCCTCCAAATACTTGCTAAACCTCTCATTGTCGTGCTCCAAAAACTTACTTTTGTAAAGCTTCATGGCCACAGAGGCCACTCGATTGTACGGAATAGCACCCCATTGGTTGGCACCCATGTAAACCTCGGGCAACTGCAACTCCTTCCTCAGCGGCACCAACACCTCCTTCCTCAGCCGGTCTCTGACTCTGTAGGCGTAATGTGCTTCCTCCATACCTTCATATTCCGGGTACGATTCTCGGGGAAACACCTTCCTCGCAATGGCTTCGCAGAGCAAAGTGGCGCGGTCGAAGGAGGAGTCAAGGGAAGGGCACCACTTGGCAGCCAGAGTTATCTTCTTATGCTTATCATCCGACTTGAAGGTTTCTATATCGGACTTCAAGCACTCTGCGAAAAGATCCGAAACCCTCTGGTGCAAGAACCGGTAATCCGGGTCACGCTGGTACCTGGCAATGGCCTTCTTGGCCATGGCTATCTTCTTTTCTTTCCTCGCAGCGCTCGCTGTTTCCTTTTCCAATTTTACCCTCTCCATCCCCTTCATTACCCGAACCTCTTTAGGCACACTCTTCCGGCTGCTGATGGCCGGAGTGACCGCGGCTTTGGTTTTCGATTTACCAATTTTATAACTCGGACGACGTCTCCGTGCCACTCGCCGAACCACTGGTCTCCTCTTGCTACCGCCCCATCTGCATTTTCTCATTAACCACTGGTCCTTTTGGTTCTTCCTCACGTCTTGGCCTTCTAGAAGGCGGTACAGAATCTCGGGCATGTCTTTGAAGTAGCCGAACTCGGCGAAAGAGGCGAGGTTGCAGGCGAGGGTATTGGGGTGGTTTTTGTGGAGCCAAAACGCCGCCGTGTAGAAGCTTTCCTTGTCGGACTTTCCGGTGCCACGGACGCCTCTGAGGTTGCAGATGAGTTTGAGAGTGGTGAGGGCGTCGTGGGCCCAGGCCAGCGGGAGCTGTTTGTTGAGATAGGAGGCCGGAGAGTCCGGTACGACGTGGAAGAACAGATCGAGGCAGGGGTTTGAGGAGGTGAGGAAGGTGGCTGAGCCGTTCTCGGTGAGCGCCATTGGGGGTCTGGCTCCATTTGATCCGCTCATCGAATCACCGAAGGCGGGTTCGGGTTGCGATGGTGGGGTGGGCTTGTTGATCTCTGGAGGACCAAGAATTACAAGACCAGTCGGTGGAGGAGCCATCGGCGTGATTTGTAAACAGAGGTTTGATTGGAGAATTGGGAATTTGGGAGAGGGTTTAATTTGCAGTGTTTTGATGGAATTAGGTTGGAGAGGCGTGAGTGAGATATGTGCCTCTTTTATATAGGAGCTCGTTTACTTGGGGACCAAGGATTAATCTGTTAATTATGTTTTCCCAAAAAATAAAATTGAATTTTTTGTTACCATTAAATTTATTGAATATTGGTTATGGCATTGATATCATTTTAAAGAAACATAGATGATGAAGATTTCATTTACAGTTCACTTCTTTTTTTCCTTGTACAAAATGAAAAGTTTAAATGTCCCTTCTAGCCCTAGCATAAAACCCAAACATACAATTTTTCATATTTTCTATGTAGGTTAAATTCTTGGTTATCAAGGAAAAGGGAACATAGTTAAACCAGATGATGATCATCAATCAAATTGATAGGCAATGAATATGCTGTAGTGTTGAGTCTATTTGTGATTTAACCCACAAGTCATCGTGAAAACAAAAAAGAAAGTTGGTTACTAACGGTGTTACTATTAAATTTGGATGTTAATATTCTCTCTCTTAAAAGATAGTCCTGCCACATGTCATTATGCAATTGGTGCGTACTACCACCTGTCAGTGCCACATGGTAGTACCGTACTATTGTATAATTTCTCCAAGTCATCCACATTCCAAGAGGCATTTTAAAAAATAAAAATATAATTGGTATATTAGAATAATAATAAAAAAGATTCGAATATATTTAAAAAGGGCAATACTGTTTAAAATAAAAATATTATTTAAATACAATTGTCTACATAAAGGTGTACTCAATTAACTTGGATTAGGTCCGGTTACGTTGTACATTGAGATCAAAATCCTAATCGTAAAACGCTAGGTCAAGTTACGTGAGTATCCAAGCCTAATTGAGTCACAAGTGCCCTATAGTAGGCTTATGGTCAGGGTTCGAGACTTGAGAATGGTTTTGGAACAAGTTTAGAGAAATGAAAGCAACATATATAACCAGAATTAAGAGCTCACTCTCAGATATATCATTGACAGTCACAATAACGGAGCTTGTATTTGATTTCATTAGTGATAATCATGAAAGATTGTTCCGCAATGGATTCTGCAGTTCTTTTAGTTGATTATGTTTGATCTTTCAGAGCGGCAATATATTGAATGGAGAAGTCCCTGCAAAAAATGCTCAACAAAAAATGGAAAAATTGATAAAATTGAATAACCATTTAATGCAAGAAACGAAAGTAATAAAACTGAATAAACAATGATTGCAGCAGCTTGGACCTTTACAAGCAATTAAAAGTTAACCGGTATGATCCAAATGCAGAAAAGATATGAAATTGCAGCAGCTGTAAATGAAGAATGTACAATCAACACTGAAAGTTGGATTATGTGCTACAACATCTTGTAAATCAAAACTTTGGTTCTAGAACACACCTTCTCCCTCTCAAGACTAAGAAGCCATGACTGAGCCTGTTCAATTTTCATACATCAGAAGATTGACCTTATATTGTTTTGCTGCTGCCCCAACACAATCTTCATCTAAAATCATTAGACAAAACATGAGTAGTTCCTGCGTACTGTAAGAAAATTTTAATTTCTCAAGATTAGTCTTGCAACAATCAGTCTCTAATAAGGGAAACGAATGATCATAAATCAAGATAGAAAATAAGATAGCATGAACATCAGTTCCATAACAATGCAGAGATCAAAATGCAGAATTGGCATATGACATCAGTTCCATAAAGAAACATAGAAAGTCGAATTGCAGTTGGACATAGGTATTGGAGCAAAAACATAGAAACCCAAATTGCAGAAACAATAATCAACAGGGACATTGGAGCAAAAACACCAGTAAATTTTCATTTCACTTCTTGTTTTTGCTACAAAATTGAACAATGGAAATCAACATCTAGGCCAAGCATGAAACCCTTTTTTTTTTTTTTTTTTACATAGGAAAGAGGAAACAACTAAAACATAAGATGGTCATCAGATCAATCCAGCACAAGCAACTTCTGATATTCTTCGCCGGAGAGGGCTTGTTCCATGACACTGTCTGGGCGAACTTCTCCATCATTATCCAAGAACAACTTCATCAAATTCTTCGAATAGCCACTCAACAGCGCCACCCCTGGTTGTGTGCTAGGCACTGGCGTAGACAAAGAGTGCCTTAGATTCCAAAACACAATCTGCGGTATGGCATTCCCATATCCTTTCTCATTATACTTCCTCTGAATTGTCTGATAATCAGTCTCCCACCTATTGGTTGAAGCCTGATCAAACTCCATGTCGCTGAACACAAAGATCCTCTTTATCATATGCTCTGGCTTCAGTCTCCCCTTCACTGCCACTTGCAGAAGCAAATCAAACACCTTTTGAAAATTAGTGTTCCCGCCCCATTCCATCGTCCTCACAAACTCGCACTTGGACATAAGATCATTGCCTTGTATCAAATGAAGCTCAGGTCTTGCACTGAAAGTGATGACCTTTCCCTTCCATGGCTCTTCACTCAGTTCAGACACCAACAGTCCCAAAGCCACCGACACCTCCATGGGTGTCCCATTCATGCTTCCAGAGACGTCACATACAGCCAAGCAGTTGTTCATCTTGCCTTGCTTCAGCATGTCATCCACCATTCTCTTCCACTGAAGCTCAGCCACTTGCCCGCCATCTCCATGATTCAGAGACTCTATGATCTCATGTGGAAGCAAAGCACCTGCTGCAATCGTGGACTTGCCAGCTTTGACGTCCTCCAAATACTTCTTAAACCTCTCTTCATCATGCTTAAGGAACTTCTCCTTGTAAAACTTCATGGCCACAGAGGCCACTCGGTTGTAAGGAATGGAACCCCACTGGTTGGCACCTATATAAACCTCTGGCAACTCCAACACCTTCCTCAACGGCACCAACACATCCTTCCTCAGCCGGTCTCGGACTCTGTAGGCGTAATGGGCGTCCTCAACACCTTCATATTCTGGGTATGATTCTCGCGGGAAGACCTTCCTGGCGATGCTTTCACATAGCAAAGTGGCTCGGTCGAAGGATGAATCGATAGAAGGACACCACTTGGCTGCCAGGGTTATCTTTTTGTACTGATTGGAGTTGAAGTTTTCAATATCAGACTTCAAACACTCGGCGAAAAGATCTGAAACACGCTCGTACAGAAACCGGAAATCGGGGTCACGTTGGTACCTCCCAAGGGCTTTCTGGGCCATACTGATCTTCTTCTCTCTTCTCAAAGAGCTCGCCTTTTCCTTCTCCAATTGTGCCCTTTCCATTGCCCTTTTTATCCGGGCCTCTCTAGAGTGCACATCCCCTTTCCGATTACTTGACCGGCGTCCCTTCACCGCACTGCTACTTGACCTTTGCCCCCCCCCGAAGGGTGGTCTCAGCCCATAGGGGCCACCTCCGTAGGGTGCTGGTGGTGCAAAGCCACCTCCGTAGTAGGGTGGTGATGGTGAAACGCCACCTCTGTAGGGTGGTCTCAGATGATTTAGCCCCCCCCTACCACGCCTACCAATCCTACACGCCCCGCCTTTTCTCATCGACCACTCGGCCTTTTGGGTCTTCCTCACGTCTTCGCCTTGTAGAAGGCGGTACAGGATCTCAGGCAGATCTTTGAAATACCCAAACTCGGCTAGAGACGCAACGTTGCAGGCGAGGGTTTTGGGATGGTGCTTGTGGAGCCAAAACGCCGCCGTGTAGAAGCCTTCCTTGTCGGACTTTCCAGTGCCGCGCACGCCTCTGAGGTTGCAGATGAGCTTGAGGGTGGTTAGGTCGTCGTGGGCCCAGGCGAGCGGGAGCTGTTGGTTGAAATAGGAGGCCGGCGTGGATGGCACAACATGGAAGAAGAAATCGACGCAGGGGTTGCCGGAGGCGAGAAACGTGGCAGAACGGTTCTCAGTGAAGCCCATCGGAGGTGCGATAATTGGAGCCTTGGCTGAGTCGTTGTAATTGGCAACCATGAGGTCAACGAAGGGGTCAGTCGATTGAGTTTGGGTTTGGGTTGCTGCTGCGATTGGCTTTGGCTTTGGCTTTTTGAACTCTGGGGGACCAAGAAGAAGACTTGGAGGGGCCATTGTTGTTTGTTGGTATGAGGGTTGTGGAGAATTGGGGATTAGGGTTTTTGCAGTGGGGTTTTTGATCGATGGATTAGAAGAAGTGAGTTTTCTTTTGGGGACGGCGTGATACGCCTCTTTTGTAGGAGATCAATTTCTTGGGCTCCAAGGAGTTTTTGTTGAAAATCCTTTTTCAATTTGAATTTTTTATCCAAACAATATCTTTTGCTAATGGAAAAAAAAAAAAATTATTTAATATACTTATACAACTGGCAACCAGTCGACCGACTTTGGTTTTATTTTCTTGAAATTGTATTTACCATTTGCGTGAGAATCCTACTTAAAGAATTACCAGTTCCTCCAACAACAAAAAAAGAAAAGAAAAAAAAAAAAGAATTACCAATTCCAACTTCAGTGACTTTTTATTTTATTTTCAGTGCATATTTATTTATTTAATGTGTAAGAATTTCTATATTTTCTACGTGTTGGGCAACAGGGCCTTAGCTTGTTTTGGGTTTTCACTGAAAAACATATTTTTCCAAGAACTTGGATTTTCACCAACAATAAGCTCAGCAGCAGCTGATTATTAATATGAACTCATTGTTTCAGTTCTTCTTATGCAGATGAATATATGCTATTGGCTGGGATGGTGAATATATGCAGATCACTTCTGCTTTTATTTCTTGAGCTGAAAACAAATCTGCCCAAGTTCTCTCACATTTTTCTCCTTTGAATTTATATGAAATTACAACGAAACGAAACGAAACACATCAAAAACACATTAGAAAGAATTTAAGAAGGCATCCATAATGACCTCTTCTGCCTATCCAAGTTAACTAGAAAGAAAACTGTAAAAGCTCACATGCATGATGCATCATCCCTACCCCTATTATATATAGAACTATAACACATAAAGAAAAACCTGAAATTATTCCAGAATCCAGATTGACTACTGAGACATTTCAAAAACTCTCACTTCCATTTACATATCTGCGAAGCGTGTTTATTCCCAGATGACTGGGAACAACAAACATGAACAAGATTCCATTTTAAGCTAGGACTAGTCCTACGAGGAGCACATGTTTTCGTCAAAGGATCTGCCTACTCTTTCTTCCTGCCTTTCTGTCCTAGTGTGTATATGTTTCATCAAAACTATCCTGTCAATTTTTGTATATAAATATAATTGCCACCACTTGATGATCCCAAAAATCCAGCGAAAATGAAGAGAATGCCAAATAACACCGCATGATGTTAGCTAAAGAACAACATTTCAAATTTATATGTAAGACTTACTTTAGAGAAACATAAAACAATGATAGAGAAAAATCATATCCTGTCATTTTCATTTCACTTTTCGTCCTCCTAGCAAGAAACTAGAATTATTCTTATTCAAGGACATTAATTAAAAGGAAACAATCTTCAAACAGGTAATGATCAACATCAATCTACTACAGTCAGACTCTGATACTCTTCGCCAGAGATGGCTATTTCCATGAAAAGTTCTGGGCAAATTTCCCCATCATGTTTGAAGAACATCTTCATCAAATTCTTGGAGAAGCCACTCAACAGTGCCACCCCTGGTTGTGTCTCAGACACTGGTGTAGAACTCGAGTGCCTCAGATTCCAAAACACAATCTGTGGCACTGCATTCTCGTACCCTTTCTCCTTAAACTTCCTCTGTATTGCCTCATAATCAGTCTCCCAACTATTGCTCGAAGCCTGATCAAATTCCATGTCGCTGAACACGAATATCCTCTTGATCATATGCTCTGGCTTCAAATTCCCATTCACGGCCACTTGGAGAAGCAAATCAAACACCTTTTGAAAATCAGTGTTTATGCCCCACTCCATCCTCCTCACAAACTTGCACTTGGAACTAAGATCATCCCCTTTTATCAAATGCAGCTGAGGGTTTTCACTGAAAGTGATAACCTTTCCCTTCCATGGCTCTTCACTCAGTTCGGACACCAACAATCCCAAAGCCACGGACACCTCCATTGGGGTTCCTTCCATGCTTCCTGAGACATCACATACAGCCAAGCAGTTGTTCATATTGCCTTGCTTTAGCATGTCATCCACCATTCTCTTCCACTGAAGCTCAGCCACTTGATCATCAACATCACCATTTTCGTTGGGAGATTCAGAAGAATAATGATCGTAGAGCTCAATATTCAGTTGGGCAATGATCTCATGAGGAAGCAAAGCACCGGCGGCAATCTTGGACTTACCGGCTTTGACATCCTCCAAATACTTGCTAAACCTCTCTTTGTCGTGCTCCAAAAACTTTTCCTTGTAAAGCTTCATGGCCACAGAGGCCACTTTGTTGTACGGAATGGAACCCCACTGCTTGGTAGTCATATACACCTCGGGTAAGTCCATGGCCTTCCTCAACGGCACCAAAACCTCCTTCTTCAGCCTGTCACGAACTCTGTAGGCGTAATGTTCATCCTCAATGCCTTCATACTCCGGACACAATTCCCTCGGGAAAACTTTCCTTGCAATGCTTTCGCAGAGCAAAGTGGCGCGGTCGAAGGAGGAGTAGATGGAAGGGCACCACTTGGCCGCCAGCGTAATGTAGTTATTCCTCTTCAAACATTCCATATCCGACTTCAAGCACTCGGCAAAGAGATCCGAAATCTGGTCGTGTAAGAATTGATAATCCGAGTCACTCTGGTACCTGTCAAGGGCCTTCTTGGCCATGGCGACCATCTTCTCTGTCCTCAAGGCACTGGCCTTTTCTTTTTCCAATTTGTCCCTCTCCAATGACTTGTTGATCCGAACCTCTCTAGACTCCTCCTTAACCCTTTTCGCTTTAGATTTCGACTTGTCCCTCCTAGTTCCATCTGTCCTCATAATCCTTCCCCTCCTCCCCCTCTTCCCACTGCCTTTTATCCGTAGCCACTCGGCCTTTTCCTTCTCTCTCACGTCTTGGCCTTGTAGAACCCGGTACATAATCTCGGGCAGGTCTCTAAAGCACCCGAATTGGGCAAAGGAGGCGAGGTTGCAGGCTAGGGTTTTGGGGTGGTTCTGGTGGAGCCAAAAAGCCGCCGTGTAAAAGCCTTCCTTGTCGGACTTTCCAAAACCACGCACCCCGCGGAGATTGCAGATGAGCTTGAGGGTGGTTAGAGAATCGTGGGCCCAAGCCAGGGGAAGCTGTTGGTGGAGGTAGGAAGGCGGAGTGTCTGGGACGACGTGGAAGAAGAAATCAAGGCAGGGGTTGCCGGAGGAGAGGTAGGTGGGTGAATTGTTCTCAGTCATTCCCATTGGAAGCGATGACCTCATCTTTGTGAATGTGTCGTTGAAATTGGCAACCACACTACTACATTTTAGTCTTTGCGCCGCCGAGGGGGGGGTGTCGGGGCG